TAGAACAAAAGTTATTTCATATGTCAGAATGTCAGATCTCTTTGGGAGACCCTGTAYATAAATATTAGAAAAAAAGTCATTGACAATCTGACAAATACATTTTACACAGATAACATCGTTATTTATTATAATAATTTATAATTTACGTCTAGATTTCTTGTCAGCAAAGTTTCATATAATTTTTTACTTAATACATTCTTTAGCAATTTTATAATTTACTAAAACAATAAAATTGGCACAAGAGCAATTAACTACAAACAAATGATACTACCCCTAAATAAAAAAAAAAAAATAGTCCAGCCTGAGTTATTATGTTACCATAATTTTTCTAAATACCTACGTACCTGCAGCATTAGACTTATTATTTAAAAAAAATCTTTGGAACGTACAAAAAGCCGAGCTATATGCAGTTACTATTAATATTATATAAATTTTAATTGCTTCACCTACACAATACATGATATAAGTGCACAGATAAAGGAATTATTATAGCCGTATATTATAGTTACTTTTATTTATTAATATGATCTAGTGGTTCTTAACCTTTTGTGGTACACGRACCCATATGAAGTTTGAAGTCACGGATCCCCGAATTTATGAGATAAAAGTTTCTTTTTTCCATTAAAATCAAACCAAAAATACCTATAATAATTCAATAAAAATAAATAATAGTAAGAATAATTAAGCTCATATCATGAGTGTAGAAGACCCCCCGGGGGCCACGGACAATCGGTTAAGAATCACTTTAAATTTCTAAATGGTTCTGAATTTTTAGAGATACCCGCCGGTATCTTACAAGGTGTGTTCTTCTCCAGCGATCGTCCTCGGTACATGAATTACGGCGCCATTGGTTTTGTAATTGGTCACGAGATCACCCATGGTTTTGACGACCAAGGCAGAAAGTACGACAAGAAAGGTAACCTGGTCGACTGGTGGGCAAACAAGACGAAGAAACGCTTCTTGGAGAAGGTGTCGTGCATCATCAAACAGTATGGAAATTACACGRTTGAAGAGATCGGTCTCAAGGTGTGTTATAGCTAATTTTGATTTAAAGTTTTCCACAAGGTATTTAGAGGTCGAGAGACTTCTAAAATTTAGCATTTTTCGAATTTCGAATAACTATGCATGAAACTAGGCATATCGCCAAAATTCTAATAATATTATTGTTCGTACCGAACAATCGATTGAATATATTTATCAATTTTAATTATAATTCTTAAAAAGCATTATTAAATATATTTGTATACATATATTGTGTTAATAACGATTTATCCTCAAACGATTTTAAATATTTGTTATTATTCAAAAAGTATAAGTCGTAGATACCTGAAAATTTTATCAGTTATTTAGATTGGCATTTTCTTTACATGATTTAATTTTCAAAATATTTTGATTTTTTTTTGAGATATTTATAGACGCCTGAAATTTTCAATTTGTCTGAACATTTTTTTTTGAAGTGTCGATAAAATTTTTTTGGCCTTATCAAAATACTTGAAAATTTAATACAAGATTTCTTACAAATTTTTCAATCTTTATCACAAAAAAAATGTCCACCGGAAATTTTTATTAGCATTTGAATTTCAAATATTGACAAAAATTCGTCAAAACCATGAATATTTGCAAATTGTCAATTGTATACCTATTTGTATATAACAATATTATGTAGGCTAGAAAATCTAGTTTCTACCGTAGATACCTACCTAAAAGAACATTAATATTAAATTTTGTCCAAATTTGAATTTAAAATGTCTGTAAAAAATAACTATGTTTGTATATTTTTCAAATTTTTTGGTTACTGTATGAACTATTTATAAGAATCTTTGTTTTAAATTTTTAAAATTAAATTGTGTAATTGTCTTAGTTATAATAACTGAACATTTTATAATTTTATAATTACAGTGATTAATAATTTTCGATATTTTGATAAATTTAGTGAAAATATTGAAATTTTTTTATTTTTGGCCCCTCAATACAAATACAGCAATAGCTATTCCTAATACCAATAAATAATACTTATTTCGTTTGCAACCCAATTATAGCAAATTAATACACGTAAATGCAGTCGTAATATTTCAAATATCCACGTGTAATTATACATGAACTGACGATTGTAATGTAAATCACTGCTTACCTAAATATATATAGCAATATGTAGATTATAGTATTATAGCATATTACATTCTGGCGCAAATCGTTTGGGAGGACTGAAGTTTACTTAGGTGCTTATCTACATATTTGTATAGTTACCTAGTTTAAAAAAAGTTAGCTAGATATTCGTAGACCATTCATTTTTTATAAAAATTAAAATCTAATAGGTACTTACGACGTACGGTCTTGACCGTAGATTTTTTTCAGTAACGTTATTTAACAAGTCACAGTTTAATTAAAAGTTAAAACGACGTCTAAAATCAAATACTCGAGTTGATAAAAAATACAGAATAATATAGTAAATACTACCTAATTTACATATAACAATGTTAACAAATGATAAATTTAAACTATTTTTTCTTTTTATTCATATAGGCTAATATGTTATTAGATATTCTTTCTGGTTCTCTTATATCAGATTTTAACATTCTCTTAGGATAAAGTGGTTGCACAATTTCTGGCAGCATACATTCCATATAAAACCTAAAGTTATAAAAAAAAAAATTATAATATTGTAATAATTAGAGCAAGGACTTTCATGCATTTGCATATTTTTTCTGGTTAACTTTATTGTATGCTTGWTAAATAAAAAATACATTTCATAACGTTTATGATGAAATACTCAAAGTTTTTAGTGCATATTTTTGCATATTTGGACATTTTTTGGATTAAGGGGCATATTTTTGATTATAAGAGCATATTTTA